CTGTGGTGGTGTGAAGGGGTGATGTCTGTGGCGGTGTGAAAGGGTGATGTCTGTGGCGGTGTGAAAGGGTGATGTCTGTGACGGTCATGAAAGTAATCAGCAGAGAAGAGAGTTACATTACAGAGGCAAATAATATCAGAATAATGGTGTCACTGAATCGACTATCACTTTGTATTCCAGAGTGCAGACTCCCCTTGATAATTTTGGGGAGTGTGGCGACATGACGCCCCCCTTCACAGCCCGCGTCATTATTTTCCCCTAACACATTCTTTCTTCCCCCCCTCTTGTGTTGAAGTTTCCACTCTGCACAAATAAAGGAGTTGGCAATTGTCTTATCTCTGGGGTCTGGTTTGAGGCTGGTGGCTGGCACGTCTCGAGGGAGCTCTCACAGCCTCCTTACTCCTCAGGAGTAAGACGTATCTCACCTTGTTCTCTTCCTTCTCTCTTCTTTACCTCCTCCTCCTCCTCCTCCTCCTGTGCCATATTTCTCATGCTGATGACAACGAGGAAGGTGGAGCTTTGCGTCGCTTGCAGCCCACTACCTCACTATCCTCCCCACCCACACCCACATACCTCTCCACCCACACCTATCCACCATGGTCTCCACATCCACACTTCCCCACGCTAGCCTCATCCAATCCCACTTCCTTACCATTGCCTTCGTTCCCCATCTTCCGACAACCGCTTTCCTATCCATGGGGGCTAGTGGATCCCATACCCATCCTGTGGGCGGTAGTGGACCCCATACTCATCATGTGGGTGGTAGTGGACCCACATATTTCTCAGCGTCCTTAATTTCCTTTTCTCACCCCTGGCCCCAGCCTCACCCCTGGCCCCAGCCTCACCCCTGGCCCCAACTGCGTCCCAGGCCACAAGTTGCTCGGGCGCCAACTTGTGGCTTGGTGTGGCCAGGCTACAAGGGGAAACAAGCCACCTCCTGCAAAGTTTGAAGTTGCCCCCGGATATTTGGACGCCTTGGCTGCTGCCGCCCTCGTTGCCGCCCACGCTGCCGCCCGCGCTGCCGCCCACGCTACCGCCCGCGCTGCCGCCCACGCCGCCGCCCACGCCGCCGCCCACGCCGCCGCCCGCCCCGGCACCCACATTTCCTCCATTGCTGTTTTGCCATAGCTGTGATTGTGGGGGTTGAAATTTAGCTCTTAGATCCCAGTTTATTTTTAACTGTAGATCTCCTGGTTCAATTACCCGACCCTTTTTTATCATACATACTTTCATACATACATAAATACATACACAAGTGTGAATGGAGTTATCCTCTCCTGCTATCGTGACGAGCATACGATGCTTGTGGTATCTGCGTACCAAGCTTCAGAGACTTCTTCACCCTACACTTAACTCTCTCGAAGTCGAAATAGTAGTTTAACATGTGCGTAATTGAAATGGTTTTTTATTTGTTTTTATTTAATATTTGTATACGCTTGTATAGTTATAGAAATATTATGAGTTGGGATAGTTGATAGTTATGAGTTGGCAGGTGGTTGATAGTTGAAATAATATTTCTTGACGTCATTAATTTTCAATATTTATATTATGGACACTGATGAATGCACTTTCTTCCCCCCCCCCTTATACCTGGCAGTATAAGGGGGAAAGGGTGGGGGGTGGGGGGGGGGAATTACAACATCTCTTGAGAATCTTACCAAGTATCTGTCATCCTCAGATCTCATGTATCAGACCTTTCTTGTAGGGTGCTGTCTTGTAGGGTGCTGTCTTGTAGGGTGCTGTCTTGTAGGGTGCTGTCTTGTAGGGTGCTGTCTTGTAGGGTGCTGTCTTGTAGGGTGCTGTCTTGTAGGGTGCTGTCTTGTAGGGTGCTGTCTTGTGGGGTGCTGTCTTCTAGGGTGCTGTCTTGTAGGGTGCTGTCTTGTAGGGTGCTGTCTTGTAGGGTGCTGTCTTGTAGGGTGCTGTCTTGTAGAGTGCTGTCTTGTAGGGTGCTGTCTTGTAGGGTGCTGTCTTGTAGGGTACTGTCTTGTAGGGTGCTGTCTTGTAGGGTGCTGTCTTGTAGGGTGCTGTCTTGTAGGGTGCTGTCTTGTAGGGTGAAGTCTTGTGGGGTGCTGTCTTGTAGGGTGCTGTCTTGTAGGGTGCTGTCTTGTAGGGTGCTGTCTTGTAGGGTGCTGTCTTGTAGAGTGCTGTCTTGTAGGGTGCTGTCTTGTAGGGTGCTGTCTTGTAGAGTGCTGTCTTGTAGGGTGCTGTCTTGTAGGGTGCTGTCTTGTAGGGTGCTGTCTTGTAGGGTGCTGTCTTGTAGGGTGCTGTCTTGTAGGGTGCAGTCTTGTAGGGTGCTGTCTTGTAGGGTGCTGTCTTGTAGGGTGCTGTCTTGTAGGGTGCTGTCTTGTAGGGTGCTGTCTTGTGGGGTGCTGTCTTGTAGGGTGCTGTCTTGTAGGGTGCTGTCTTGTAGGGTGCTGTCTTGTAGTGTGCTATCTTGTAGGGTGCTGTCTTGTAGGGTGCTGTCTTGTAGGGTGCTGTCTTGTAGGGTGCTGTCTTGTAGTGTGCTGTTTTACTGCTACCCGTTAGTACTGAGGTCTCAATAATACCCAGCACCACTCAGCAGTGCTCAGCACCCAGCACTGCTCAGCACCCAGCACTGTTCAGCACCCAGCACTGCTCAGCACCCAGCACTGCTCAGCACCCAGCACTGCTCAGCACCCAGCAGTGCTCAGCACCCAGCACTGCTCAGCACCCAGCAGTGCTCAGCACCCAGCAGTGCTCAGCACCCAGCAGTGCTCAGCCAAACCTTGGCGAACATATAACATAATTGATTAGAAATGTGGCCACTCGGACTTCCCCAAAAAAGAAAATCTTAACGGTCTTAGTTTTAAAATGAAAAATGCCATAATGATATATTAATGAGGAGACGGGTTCCTCGGCAGTCCCGGCCCGGCATTATAGAAAATGGTGAGCGTCGCCGGCACCAACTGCTGATTAATGAGAGCTGTAAGGTCACTGGTTGCTTCTGTTGCCACGCCCCCCTGTTGCTGCTGCTGCTGCTGCTGCTGCTGCTGCTGTTGCTGCATCACTTGTTGCCACGCCCCCCTGTTGCTGCTGCTGCTGCTGTTGCATCACTTGTTGCCACGCCCCCCTGCTGCTGTTGCTGCATCACTTGTTGCCACGCCACCCTGCTGCTGCTGCTGCTGTTGCTGCTGTTGCTGCATCACTTGTTGCCACGCCTCCTGCTGCTGCTGCATACAGTTGATTAATGCCTCGAGTCTCGCTCCTCCACGCCAATAGTAGTCTGTCCTGAAAGATTAACTATGAGATCATCGCTGTGCTCCAGGTGGATGCAGGAACGCGGATATATATATATATATATATATATATATATATATATATATATATATATATATATATATATATATATATATATATATGTCGTACCTAGTAGCCAGAACGCACTTCTCAGCCTACTATGCAAGGCCCAATTTGCCTAATAAGCCAAGTTTTCATGAATTAATTGTTTTTCGACTACCTAACCTACCTAACCTAACCTAACCTAACTTTTTCGGCTACCTAACCTAACCTATACAGATAGGATAGGTTAGGTTAGGTAGGGTTGGTTATGTTCGGTCAAATATCTACGTTACTTTTAACTCCAATAAAAAAAATTGACCTCATACATAATGAAATGGGTAGCTTTATCATTTCATAAGACAAAAAATAGAGAAAATATATTAATTCAGGAATACTTGGCTTATTAGGCAAATCGGGCCTTGCATAGTAACCCCAAAAAGTGCGTTCTGGCTACTAGGTACGACATATATATATATATATATATATATATATATATATATATATATATATATATATATATATATATATATATATAATTATTTATTTTTTCTGGACTCTTTCCTTTGTGGTATGCCTTTTGAGATGGTTATTAACGTCTCAAAAGGGCCAGTTAGGGCTTAATGTTGTTTGATTGTGGCTTTATGACTAATTCCATTTGGTTATATGACACGCTGTCATCCCTTGTCAATCATAATACCCCCATGACACTGTCGTCTCACGCTACCAACAACAGTTTCGTAACCCTTGGGAGCCTGTTTACTAATAGGCAGATAGACACCAAAGATGTAAGGAAACGCGTTTAATTGGCTTGCCCTGCTCAGGAATCGAACCCCTGGTTCAATATAATGTAAGTCGACTGCTTAAATTAATAAATATGTTCACGATTGCTTTCCGATTTTTCAACTCATTTATCCTATGTTGACATAATCCTAAAATACCGTTCATTGTATTAATCATAATCCCACAATGGGATTACTGTTCGTGTGGCCCCCATACTCCTCTGACCTTTATTTTATTAAAGGTCAGGGGAATATTATTTTTATTCATGCGTAGTTACCTGCCCTAGGTAACTACGTACTCTAGGCCACCTCAAGAGTACTCAACACCTCAGAGTACTCTAGGCCATGCCTAGAGTACTCTGAGGTGTTGGATTCGAAAGCTGTTTGGCAGATTTGATGTTATTAGAATTCTCCGTCTGTCTTAAGTGGTTGGGCACTGTTCCTGTCTGTCTTCGCTGTATGGTCATACTGGCTTGTTGGCTTCTCCTGATATTTGTTTCTTTACTCTGTGCATGTAACGTGAGCACACATAGTTGAAGACTTAAGTTTTATTTCCAGTTTGAATTGTTACTGGAGAGGGAGGGGATTATCAGGGGAAGGCGCCAAGTCATTACGACTATATAGCACTTGGAAGGGGTCAGGATAAGGATTTGGGATGGGACGGGGGAAAGGAATGGTGCCCAACCACTTGGACTGTCGGGGATTGAACGCCGACCTGCATGAAGCGAGACCGTCGCTCTACCAACGGTGGTGTAGCGTCTACGTCGCTACACCACTAACACCTCATGTTGGTTGACGTGCTGGGCGACGTGCTGGTTGACGTGCTGGGCGACGTGCTGGTCGACGTGCTGGGCGACGTGCTGGGCGACGTGCTGGGCGACGTGCAAGCTCCTGACTAGCTCCTTTGTTTTCATCCCACAGATCAGTTCCTGGGTCTGGAGCTTCCCCACGAGCGAGTGTTCCGGGGAGAGTTCCAGGTGCGGAGCGGAGACAGATGGACCTCGCAGCTGGCCGACCACACCAACCCCTCCTTCATCACCACCGCCCAGCAGTACGCCACGCGACTCGACACCGTCTACGGCAACTCCGTCTTCAAGAACGTCTTTATCCGCTCCGAAGTCCTGGGCCTGGACCGGTTAGTGTTAATCATCGCGCTGGGGTTTGTTCGGTACTATGAGGAGTGAGGAGTACTTAGTATCTATGTAACTGTTAAGTCAAATGGCTCTAGTCGCTGGTATATGCATGCTGGTATACCTAGGTGCTATTCTGTGTTGAGAAAGTTTCTTATTTGTCATAAGGTCGGTCTTTAGAGCGTCTTAGTCTTTAGTAGAGCGTTCAGTGTCGGTATCTGGTGACACAGAGCCGGCCAAGAGTAGAGAGGCGTGTAGGAAGCGACAGTCTTTATCAGAATTAAGAGTTTGAAAATTGGTCTGTGGTGATCTTGAAATATCAGCGCTGAAGACGTAGATGGCATAGTGTCAGGTGGGGTCAGGTGGGGTCAGGTGGGGGTCAGCAGAGTGGAGGTGACGCCTGAAGTGCTCAATTTTCACATAGCATTAGACAATCAACAATTTCACAAGAGTGAAATTACATCATGTATTGATAATAAGAGGACAGTGGCAATAAAGATGTCTTGTTACTTGAGTGAGTGAGACGGAGAGAAAGTGTTAAGTACCTCGAAAAGTATGAGTGTTGAGTGTGAGTGTAAAGTACGTCCAGGAGTGTGCGCATTAAGTACATCGAGTAGTGTAAATGTAAGTTGCCTAGATCAGTGTGAGCATTAAGTACCTTCAGCAGTGTGAGCATTATCTCGAGCAGGGAGTGTGTTAAGCCCAAGTAGCCAATCAAAACCCCTCTAAGTATAAGCCCCTAACTTAAAATTGGTGGCATGTACACTGACCATGATACAAAAAATGAATGAACAATTAATCCCTTTTTAACAATACAACTGACGCAATGAAAACAGAAGATCCTCAGAACTTTCCAAACGCATTAGTCCCATCTAGAGAAGTATACCCCGGATATATCAACACACCCACAGACTTTGGAAAGGAAATAGGCAATATACCCCCCATGCACTCGGCTCCTGAGTCGTTAGATTCCAAGAATTCATTGTTTCCTAAATAACTCTCATTATATTATTAGTACGTGTTCTTAATATCATATAGGATGGGATGGCATACTGCGAATATCGCAGGTATTTCATACTTTGTGTGGTGATGAGGTACTCATACTTGCTGTGGTGATGAGGTACTCATACTTGCTGTGGTGATGAGGTACTCATACTTGCTGTGGTAATGAGGTACTCATACTTGCTGTGGTGATGAGGTACTCATACTTGCTGTGGTGATGAGGTACTCATACTTGCTGTGGTGATACAGGGGCGTGAACGACACCCTGCTGGTCCACTTCAACCTGCACATCAACTACCGTCGCCTACACCTCGATGCTGCCGACCTCTACCTGGTGCTGATGTCTGAGATCCGCAGAGCAGACTCCGCCCCTCTTACTGGCATCTCGATTGATGAGGACTCCGTCGAGATACAAGGTAAGTCCTCTCACAGTGTAAATGGTAGGTCCACTCACAGTGTACATGGTAGGTCCTCTCACAGTGTACATGGTAGGTCCACTCACAGTGTACATGGTAGGTCCTCACACACTGTACATGGTAGGTCCACTCACAGTGTACATGGTAGGTCCACTCACAGTGTACATGGTAGGTCCACTCACAGTGTACATGGTAAGTCCTCTCACAGTGTACATGGTAGGTCCACTCACAGTGTACATGGTAGGTCCACTCACAGTGTACATGGTAGGTCCACTCACAGTGTACATGGTAGGTCCACTCACAGTGTACATGGTAGGTCCACTCACAGTGTACATGGTAGGTCCACTCACAGTGTACATGGTAGGTCCACTCACACTGTACATGGTAAGACACTCCCACCTAACCTTGTGTGTTTACACCCCCTACCCTCGACTCCTATATCTATTTCAGCACGTGAAACAATCATGTCTTCAACCCGTTTAAGTCTCCAGAACTTCATTTAATATTACCGTCGCTGCGGGCATGTGTCTTAGCGTGAACGGAAAAGCGAGTATGAGGCGAAAGCGACAAGCCAGTATGACTATACAGCCCTTGAAAGGGATTCGAGGAGAGGAGCGAAAGAATGGTGCCCAATCGCTTTCACCATCCCAGATCAAACTCCCCGAGGATCCAGGTGGTTATAGACACCGTTCCTTCAATCCTACTTTGTAAATATCACGAGAGAGCTTCGAGTAGCAAGTATTACGATGCGACAAGGATCAAAACCACTTAATCGCACCAACTTGGCACTAAGAAATTTTATATTTTTTTTTCCTCAGTGGTAGATAAGTGCAGCAGGCGAGGTGAAGGCAGAGCGTGTGCGCGCGCGCGTATTATGTTTGTTATTGTTGTGTGGCGGGAAAGTGCTGCCCTCTACGGCATGTTTGGCTGTCGTTCTGTCTCACACATTATTACCTCTGGCTCCAACTTAGCCAAGGAGAGCATCGTTAATTAAAGTTGCTTCATAAGTGATTGCCCACTGTAATTGCTTTTCTACTATAATTAATCAGAGGCTTAAATTGATCGTCTTAGGTAATTATTGCTAACTTTGACTCCATAATGTAGCGAAAAATGTAGGAAAGAAAAAAAATTAGTAAATGTATATATATTGTGCGTTATGTGTGCAATTGTGTTGTGTATGCATTCAGTATCTTGTACGTTGTGATCATATCGCATTGGGTGAATATCTCAAATGTAATTGTATTTGACGTTGCATGTTCTGGGCCTGGGCTAACGTATGCTATGAAATCATTTTTTGCTTAAGATCTAAAAAACAAACCTGATGTTTAATGGTTTTATAAATCTCGGTAACGTTATAATTTTTATTATGTGACTGTATTATGTGGTGTATAAGTTGGATGTGTGTAAGTGTGAGGAGTGAGTGAAGGAGAGAGAGAGAGAGGGACGGAGATTGGTTGATTAATTAAACTCTTCATACTGTTTAAAACGTGTCGCAGCGAACACTCGGCTTATCGAGACTCCTTATCTTGGTAAATTTATACCATAACCCCGAAATCACCCTTTTAGTGTTCGAGGTGGGAGCTGTTGACACGTGTCGCAGCTACAGAAGACGACGTGTTCGTATTGCACCCGTGTCCAGAGCCATGTAGCCACCCTTTGACACGGGCAAGTGCAGTGAGAGTCGAGGCGGAGGAGTTTAGTGAAAGCCTAGACACAGTGTAGTGAAGGGCCTCAATATGAACAAGTGCTAAGGGACTTGATATTAAGAATACATGTGGGCCGGTTAGCAAAGATCTTGTAGTGAAATGTGGGTATGTGTGTCCGCAGACTTTATCGATTTCCTCGCCGTCTTCCCTGTAACTGCGGCAGGCAGCATCGAGACTTAACAGATCACCTCATCCAAAGCACTCAACATGTAAACTCGGAAAATTAACCCGGATAATACTCTCCCAAATAATCATTATATATCCAGTTATTAGACCCATTAGACATGCTGGCATGACATAACAGGGTCTTTGGTATTACCCATTCTTGTGCTCACGAAGAAAGCCCAGTAACCTTAACAGATATTTTTTAGGACTGGCTAACAAGTCCTGTGTATGACAATCGTGCTGTAGCCTTTCATGTGGTTAATTTTACCCGCATAAATGCCCATGGACCTTAATATCGTAATAATAATAATAGAACGTCCAGGGAAAGACACACACACACACACACACACACACACACACACACACACACACACACACACACACACACACACACACACACACACACACACACACACACACACACACACACACATACATACATAAACACGCACACGCAAGCACCTAAATACACACACCCACACACACAGACACATCCGCTTAAAGTGTCTTATAATATTATGGAATTTAATACGATACTCTCCAGATTAGTTTTAATAACCTCCTCCCAAGAAGCCTTAGGTAACCTTAATAATCTCCTGTTGCACCTCGAGTTGCCTCCCAAGATTATCTGCAAGACCCCTGGGCGCTGCCTCGCACTCTAAAGTTATGAAGCAATTTCTTTTGCGAGGCAAACTGAATTTTGAATGTAAATATATCTCGGGGATGAATCCCTCTGGGTAATTCGATTTAATGTATATATATATATATATATATATATATATATATATATATATATATATATATATATATATATATATATATATATATTGCCGTAGGACGTTTCTCTTCGTCCCAGACTACCTACAAGACTTTTTCGAGGTCGAGAGGAGATGTTGAGGAGAATACCTGAGTCTGGCTTAAGTAGGTTATCTTCTAGATAAAACGTTAGGAGACAGACTTAGGTGTTTCTTCCTTTAGGAAAAGGGTAGAAATTATTTGTTTATGAATGGAATGGAGCATATTATCGTACACTTTGTCCCCTAGTGTGTCTCCTTGCTTGCCATATGCACGATGACTCGTGAATTTAATCCTCTCCCGTTTTTTTTTTTTTTTTTTTTTAATTTTTCCATAATATTTGTTATCAAATTTAAATTGCTTATAAAATATGGGAACGTGTATATTTCAAACATATAATGATGACAAGATTTTTCTCTATTTAGGAGTGAATATTAGAAAAGTATTGTTTTATTTTCATAGCTTGAACCTCAAAGGGAGGAGGGGGGGTCGTTGGTGTCTCATGGCAGGGTGGCACAGCCACAGTGTGTAGGGTGGCACAGCCACAGTGTGTAGGGTGGCACAGCCACAGTGTGTAGGGTGGCACAGCCACAGTGTGTAGGGTGGCACAGGTACTGTAGGGTGGCACAGATACTGTAGGGTGGCACAGGTACTGTAGGCTGGCACAGATACTGTAGGGTGGCACAGGTACTGTAGGGTGGCACAGGTACTGTAGGGTGGCACAGATACTGTAGGGTGGCATAGGTACTGTAGGGTGGCACAGATACTGTAGGGTGGCAAAGGTACTGTAGGGTGGCACAGGTACTGTAGGGTGGCACAGATACTGTAGGGTGGCATAGGTACTGTAGGGTGGCACAGGTACTGTAGGGTGGCACAGGTACTGTAGGGTGGCACAGGTACTGTAGGGTGGCACAGATACTGTAGGGTGGCACAGGTACTGTAGGGTGGCACAGGTACTGTAGGGTGGCACAGGTACTGTAGGGTGGCACAGGTACTGTAGGGTGGCACAGGTACTGTAGGGTGGCACAGGTACTGTAGGGTGGCACAGGTACTGTAGGGTGGCACAGGTACTGTAGGGTGGCACAGGTACTGTAGGGTGGCACAGGTACTGTAGGGTGGCACAGGTACTGTAGGGTGGCATAGGTACTGTAGGGTGGCACAGGTACTGTAGGGTGGCACAGATACTGTAGGGTGGCACAGGTACTGTAGGGTGGCACAGGTACTGTAGGGTGGCACAGGTACTGTAGGGTGGCACAGATACTGTAGGGTGGCACAGGTACTGAAGGGTGGCATAGGTACTGTAGGGTGGCACAGGTACTGTAGGGTGGCACAGATACTGTAGGGTGACACAGGTACTGTAGGGTGGCACAGGTACTGTAGGGTGGCACAGGTACTGTAGGGTGGCACCGGTACTGAAGGGTGGCATAGGTACTGTAGGGTGGCACAGGTACTGTAGGGTGGCACAGATACTGTAGGGTGGCACAGGTACTGTAGGGTGGCACAGGTACTGTAGGGTGGCACAGATACTGTAGGCTGGCACAGATACTGTAGGGTGGCACAGGTACACAGACACTGTAGTGTGGCATAGAAAATGCTAAGCATGGCATTTGATGCCCGGAACGAATAGGACAATCTGAGACATTTGGAAGTATGAGGAGTGGGAAGCTCAGCTAAATACATCTTTTTTTCAAGGTTACGACACCAAAGCTGTAATAGCAAGTTTGCAACAAATCTCTTCTAATTGTGTTCAGTTATTTTGCATGAGCCGCTCCACGGCAGCAAGGTGTCTTCTTGCCAGCCTTCGTCTGATCCATGGGGTTTAAGATTAAATAATAAGAAATATTCAGGAGGAATATTTTTTATCATTTGATATATATTTCAATCAAGGGATATATTTCACTGTGAGACGTCGCGGCCTGTCACCACCATATTATTTTTTTTTTTAAACAGGGGAGGGGTTGGGAGAGCTAAAAGCGGATCCACACCTCTGGTGGATAATTAAGATCACCAGCTTACAAAAAAAAACGTCGCTTTTCGCACGTTTGCGTTACATAAGATCAAAACTTGTCGCAATAGAAAATGGAAGCGGCTGGCGGAAGTGACGTACTGTCCCGTGTTGTGTTTTGGGTCCTCTGGTAAGTTAGGAAGAGAGCACACTTTACATTGACCGTTTTCTTGACTTTGGTGAAATCTTAGGAGGACTGGGGGGGGGGGGTAGGTAGGCAGAGGCTGCTGCTGCTGGTGCTGCTCTGCTAACCTACGCCAGCCAACAATTACTGGATCTATACTCACTTGGGGCCCCTGATTAGCAGCTATGTATCCGCCCCTGTGAAA